AAAAAGAATTATAGAAAAAACAAAAAATGAAAGAAAAAAAGTAAAAAAGTTGTAATAAACGACATTTAAAACACATGGTTTTGTATCAGAATACCTATAGACAAATGAATTGTTACAAGTTTGTGGAATGAAAAATTATGCAAAGTTAACGAGATTTGAATTTAATCATCTTCTCACAATGGCTTTCCAATCACTTACCTACGCAACATTGTCAACATGTAGTAGGACGCATTATGCAAAAACTTGTAATGTTGTTTCAATGAAATATCATATTTATATTATAATAATTATTTTATATCATACCCCACCCAGTCACATAATAGTGACGCAGACGACAAGTTCTCGCAGACGACAAGTTCAAGAACATCCCTTTAGTGCTAAGCAACATCGACCAAAAGAAGCCACTTGTTACATAATTGCCTTTGGTCAATCTGATTAAAATCAGCTCTAAATAACGCTCCAGTAAGAAATAAGTAGATCTGAACTTTAGTCAGATTGGTCTTTGGTATGTTCAGTATGGTCGAACCTGAGACCTAAATCGTTACTGCAGGACCACACCCACTATCATGTTATAATAGTATAACTTAATAACATATTTTATTTCTTACCGATAGATTAGTTATATTTGTGGTCCTCAACTGTTTGCATGCCCAGTTTAGGGTGTGATAGTAGCCCGGGGACTCGTGCTTTACAAAATATGATAAGTAAGTCATACTGGACAATTCATCGAGAGATGGATTTGCAAAATCTTCAGGACTAATAACACGTGGCACGTTCAGTTGTTCTTTCGCTATCACCATTGCTCGTCGGCAATTTTCAATCCTGAAGTACAAGACAGTATACAATTCATCCGATCAAACTTGATATTATCTTTTTTTTGCAGAGACATAACACCTGTGGTTTGGATGACAAAAATATGTTAATAATGACAAGGTTTGGTATTTTCCTTCTTTTTTCCGTCTTAGTTTTCAAATGATCTATGTACTTTTACTAATTATATAAAGAAGTTTAACCTGTCTGACATCCGGGTATTATTTTCAGATAGTTTATTTAATACTATAAACTATTACATGAACCATGTGGACAATTGCGACACATTTTTTACCTTAATTGGCTACTATTTATTTCCCGCCAAATCTCACATTGAGAATACAAAATACTGAAGGCTGGTTCACTGATTGCTTAACCATTGGATGTTGTGGCAATGACATCGCCTCTTCAATTTGTATCCTGAAATCTTTTAACCTTACAATGGAAACTTTCATATTTGACCATAACACAAAGTTGCAGTATTTTTACAATGTATAAAAATATTATCTCGATTTAAATAAATACTTTAAGCACAAACTGACCTGTTATTTCGACTGAGTTTTCTCCAGTCCGGGGACGCTCCTGGTTTAAGATGGTCTATCAATGCACTGAAATGTATACAAATTACAAACTATTTACCGGGGCTGAAATCTTACAAGACGGATATTAAACGATTCGGATGATATAATTTCAGCGAGAGAACGCTATAATCTTGGATTATATCAAAGTTTTCTTTTCCATATAAACAAAATCAATATGACAAAATTTGATCAGAATTATTTACATCATAGAAGAACTTTCAGGTAGTTGAGTAATTAATTAGGTAGTTGACTGGTTCGAGATGCAAATCTTCGAGAATGTGACTATAATTAAGCTTATGGCGTCATCAAATTTATGACCGTTTCGTAACCTCGTCGGAGGTACGACCAAATTCATGAACGAATTGCATCGTTTGCATGCTCGGTAAATTGACGTCTGCTAAAAATGTCGTCTGCTTTATGTATAAGTATAATAATGAAAACTGGAAATAAAGTCTGCATAACAAAGAGCTGAAATTTGACCAAACGGCAAGTACTGAACTTCTCGTCTGGTACCAGCAAGCCATCTGCCAATGATTTCATTATAATGCTCAGTAAGTATATTAATAAATATAGTATAAATTAAAAACTTACTGTAACGCTACACCGTAAGGATTTCATTATAATGCTCTGACAATAGGATTACGGCTAATGAATATAGAAGAGAGCAAGAACTTACTGTAACGCTACGCCGTCGTTCCAGTCTGTTGTAAAATTTGTGACATCTAATTCCGGAAGTAATGATCGGAACCAAATTGTCATTAATTTCTTAGGTGGCGCTTTTGATTTCTTACCGGAAATCTGGTACCTTTGTACCAAACTCCAGATAAGTCCATAAATGATTTTAATGTTTCCATTGACAATATCGTCCCCGCCTGAAAAAAGTATATATAAATATTTAAAGCGTAATCAAACATGCAAATCAATGAGTGTTAAACCTGTGAAATTGCGTAATGAATTATCAAAATTAAAAAAAGAGAGTTTCAAACAACGGTATAGAGCGTGGTCAGATTGCAAGGAAGTGCAACCTGGCCTAGCTCTTTACTGATGGCAGAGGCCAATCACGTTTGGTTCCTGCAAGTTAAGGCTTTAAGCCTTAAATCAAAACAAGGGAACGTATCACGCCTTCTTTACACCTTGTTTTCAATATGGTCTGACAAGATTAATGACTATAAAATATAGTGCAAATGTTTGCTAATTATGTTAATATTCATCATGTTTCATGTCTACTGGTCAGGGGCGTCCGTGGCCGAGTGGTTAAGGTCGTTGACTTCAAACCACTTGCCCCTCACCGCTGTGGGTTCGAATCCCGACAGGGACTTTGGATTCTTTCATGTGAGGAAGCTATCCAGCTAGCTTACGGAACGTCGGTGGTTCTACTCAGGTGCCCGTTCGTGCCTGAAATAATGCACGGACGGGCACCTGAGGTCTTCCTCCACCAGTAAAGCTGGAACGTCGCGATATGACCTATAATGTGTCGATGTGACGTAAAACCCAAAACAAACAATGTCTACTGGTAATCAAGTATGTTCTAAATTGTTACGGACCCTAGTGAGGATGTACGCGAGTCACCATATTGTTATCTCCTCAAAAATGGCGTGACGGTAAGAAACACCGTGTCACATGACAAAAAATGTACCACGATAGGATTTACGAAAACTGTCGGAAGAAGGCGGAAGCCCTTTCGGGTTTGTTTACAACTACACAAAAACAGTCAATATTTACTGCTTCATTAGAGTTTGTAATCCTAAAATTTTGTCTAAATTCCTGACGGATGTTGTAATTTTGTCTAAATTCCTGACGGATGTAGTAATTTTGTCTAAATTCCTGACGGATGTTGTAATTTTGTCTAAATTCCTGACGGATTTTGTTAACTACGTGTAAAACCCAACTAGATATAAATACATGTAAAAGAACATAGAGTGGCATATTTTCAACTATTTTGTTTCGGACTATCAAGTAGCCTGGACACATATTTAAGGCATTGACATGATTGCTATGAATTTTAAGCCAAATGTTCTATGGCGACCTAGCTTACTGGTTAAGGGCCTTTCGTGAATTATTTCAGGCACAGACGGACAACTGAGTAGAACCACACACGCCTCGACAGCTAGCTGGATAGCTTCCTCACATGGAAGAATCAAAAGCCCCTCGCGGTACTCGAACCTTCAGCGCTGAGGGGCAATCTGGAGCCAAATACTTTAACCACTCGGCAATTGATTACTATGATAAATACTCCACCCCTTATTCCCCCATTAGAGAATGTTTCCCGATTTAGAAACAAAACAACTTCTAATTGTCGCGAAAAATCACCAGAAGGTGTCCTTCAGAAGCGTATTTTTGCTATGTAAATCACTTAAAAAGATAAAATAGCGATAACAACAACTAAGTACTCAAACATGACTTCCAACTATTGACTACAATAAAAACATAAATTCAATAACCTGATTTAAGCAAATCACACAAAGTTAGACGTGTTATCAGTGGGACTACGAATGTAAAGAGTGCTTGAAATTTTTCAGTATTTAAGTATCTCATATATAGTAAGAAAACAGGGCGATATTTGGATGATAAAAACGTATAATCGCTAGTATAGGAAGATCACCGCCTTCAAGGTAAACGTACCAACTACTGTGCGGATATGAGGTTATCGAATAGAGTGAATAGAATGAGATAACTTTAAAAGGTTACGATAATATTTGTTATTTATTTCCTTTTACACAAGGTGAACATTAAGATTTTTTTTTCAATTTGTTTTGGTAAGTAAAAAGCCAGTTTTCCTGAATTGACCGGTTTTGTAAAACAAATTATGCCATCATGCATACAAACAGTGATAAAAAAAGTTACGTGGTGCTTACAGTTATTGTAATACGATCTGACGCGGTGCTTACAGACAGTGGCCGGTTATGGTAATACGATCTAACGCGGTGCTTACGAACAATGGCCGGTTATTGTTATACGAACTAACGCAGTGCTTACGAACAATGGTCGGTTATTGTAATACAATCTCAAAGTGGTGCTTACGAACAAAGACCGGTAATTGTAATACGATCTAACGCGGTGCTTACAAACATTGACCAGCAACTTTAATACGATCTAACGCGGTGCTTATAAACATTGACCAGCAACTTTAATACGATCTAACGCGGTGCTTACAGACATTGGCCGGTTATTGTAATACGATCTAACGCGGTGCTTACAGACATTGGCCGGTTATTGTATTACGATCTGACGCGGTGCTTACAGACATTGGTCGGTTATTGTATTACGATCTGACGCGGTGCTTACAGACATTGGTCGGTTATTGTAATACGATCTAACGCGGTGCTTACGAACAAAGACCGGTATTTGTAATACGATCTAACGCTGTTCTTACAGACATTGGCCGGTTATTGTAATACAATATGACGCGGTGCTTACAGACATTGGCCGGCTATTGTAATACGATCTGACGCGGTACTTACAGACATTGGCCGGTTATTGTAATACGATCTGACGCGGTACTTACAGACATTGGCCGGTTATTGCAATTCGATCTGACGTGGTGCTTATAGCCATTGGCCGGTTATTGTAATACGATCTGACCCGGTGCTTACAGACATTGGCCGGTTATTGTAATACGATTTAGCGCGGTGTTTACAGAAATTGACCGGTAATTGCAATACGATGTAAAAGTGGTGCTTACGAACAATAACCAGTAATTGTTAAACGATCTTACGTGATGCTTTGTTACAATGGTCGGATATTGTAATACAATCCGACGTGGGGCCTACTTTGTCCAGTTTTTCGGAATACGATCTGACGAGGTGCTTACAAACACAGACCAGTTTTCGTAGATATGTATTTTGACTTACCAACATTGACGAGTTTCACGTTATCGTCTGTGATAGCTTTTAAAGCAAGTGAGACGTTTTGTAGTTTTTGTATCTTTGAGGTAGGCTTTGTGTATACTCTTCCAATCTTTCGAAACTGAAATAGAGAATCAAAAGTTTAGTAAGCTTGAACATTGTTGTCAATGAAGATATTTCTATACACTGGTTCCCTGCGCACTTCTAAAAAGTATTACGGGGAGCCATCTAGGATGGGAACCATAATAGGTCAGGGAACCAAATTGATTATTTGTTTGTTTGTTTGTTTGTTTCATTTTACGCCTTTTCCCAACAGTATTTCAGTCATATAGGTGGGTTGTTTCCTAACCATCGTTCCTGGAGAGTTACAACAGTACTAGACTACCTTCCTTCGCGCTAATTTACCAAAGCATCTCCCGGGGATCGAACCCACGCCAGAGAGGTAACTGGATTAGAAGTCATCCACTCTAACCCGTCGACCACGGAGGCGGTAATTGATTATTTAAATTTATTAGTTAGGAACATGTTAGATACATATCACACGGAGAAAGCAACATTGAATGTAAAAAAAAAAAATATCGTAAAAATAGCAAAATGTAAACAAATATGTATTTTGTCTTCCATACAGAATACTAAATCGCTAAAACTGTACTAACTGCCTAAAAGCAACAGAAACAAATGATGGTTTAGATAAATGGCCAATGAATAAACTAGAAATTGCATCAGGACACCAAAAATATATTTTTTAAATTTTGAGAAATAAAAATAAAAGCATTTAAGATGATTAATGGGTCTTTAAACGAAGTATAGTGTGCAGTCAAGTGAAAATTTCAAACCTCGCACACTGATGTTACTATACCGACTAAATTAGAATTCCTGTATACAGAATCACTGAGCTGTAAATTAAAATAAAAATAGATGAAACTTTAACTGTGTAAATCTATTTACATACCAACCACCTACGTAAATTTGCACTTTACATATAACTTTGTATTTACTTGTACTTTTTTATTACTTGATACTCAAAGCATTAGATTTTAATACATACATCTCAAAGTAAACAGTGATTTTGGATCAACGGATCGAGTACCAAATTAACAAAATTGTAAAACAAAATCCACGAAATTGTAAATATAATTTTATTGGCATATATGGTGGCTGATTTCTGCCATATCGTTACTTCGTTCTGTCGCAGTTGAATGGGGTGACAACACGAAAGTACGACAAAACGATAAAAACAGTGCGACAAAACGATAATTTAAATTTTTGTCGTCATTTCGTTAATTCGTGTTGTCGCCCCTTCAACCGCGACAGAACGAAGTAACGGCATGGCAGAAATCAGCCACCATACTTATAAAATGTGTTAGGAATGATAGCTTAATTAACTTTGGGTTTTGGGGCTTTGGTCGGTTTGTTATTGAGTCATGACACTGAGCTGTACTGGGCACGATTATTTATTTAGGGTATGGGGTTTGTCCGGGTGCCATGGGACTTGCTCCCTTTGCTCATGACAGCGGACTGATTTTTGAAAATTTCATTTTGGGGCTTTCGAGAAATTTTTGTCGGGTGCCTTTGGGTTTAGCTTATACCAGCTAAAACTGAGTCCCATAATTTATTTTCGGGAAAGTCGGGATTTTTGTTGGTTTCCCCGGGTTTTCATTTCATCTAATTTCATAAATTTCTCGTTTGATTAAAAAAGGGGTATGGGGGCTATTTGGGGTTTTTCATTAAAGCCTCAAAGGGGTATCTTTTTGATAGCTTCTGTTTTTCATTTTCGGCAGTAAGATTATTAAGTTTTTCTTTATAAACTGGGACCCCAATAAGTTTGAGAATACATTAATGTAAATATACATTTTTAAAATTGGTATAAAATACCTTACAAGAAAAGAAAAAGAACACTGAGTAAACAAATCAAGCTGCACAGAACGTGTTCTTGCATACAATAACCATCAGCCATGCGTCTGATCGATCGTGCCTAACTAATCAAATATGCATGTACTGTGTATGGAACGCCTGGACTGTCTTATGTGTAGAATGACTGATATACATGGTTAAATGTCATTCTGTTGAGTCCGAGATACAATATGCTGGGTCAAAATCCCAAAATACTGGGTGGAAATCCAAATGCGCTCAGTTATTGAAGTGTAATGTTGTGTGCTGATTACATTTTATTCCGTCAAGTCAATGTATTGTCGGGTGGCATTAGTCGTTTCTGTTCAGTTCTTAAAACAAAACAGGCATGTGGTAACACAATTATTTGTTGAGTTAAAAAGATATGTTGTAGGGTGTGACAGTTGTTATGTATCGGTTTAAAATAGCTCTTTCTCATCATGTTAAACCATGAAAATCAACAGCATGAGTCATTATAGACCTTACTATCATTTCGTTTGGCTGAGGCAGTGTATTATTGCTTTGATACTTTTTATTATTTTCAGTTGCAATGACATGCTGTTGGGTGCTTTAGTTCAAGACTGTTCAGTCGTGAAATAGTAAACTGTTGAATAGTACTATCATTATGTTCAGTTTCAGATGATATTACTGTTCGGTGCAGAGGTCATTATGTTCAGTAAGTGAACACAAACTGTTGTATGATACCGTCATAATGTTCAGTTCAGATGATATATTGTTCGGTGCAGAGGTCACTATGTTCAGTAGTGAACACAAAATGTTGTGTGAATACCTGTTATAATGTTCAGTTCAGATGATATACTGTTCGGTGCAGAGTCATTATGTTCAGTTCAGACGATGTACTGTTCGGTGCAGAGGTAATTATGTTCAGTAGTGAACACAAACTGTTGTGTGATACCGTCATTATGTTCAATTCAGATGATATATTGTTCGTGCAGAAGTCATTATGTTCAGTAGTAAACACAAAACTGTTGTGTGATACCCGTCATATAGTTCAGTTCAGATGATATCCTGTTTGGTGCAGAGGTCATTATGTTCAGTAGTGAACACAAACTGTTGTATGATACCGTCAATTATGTTCAGTACAGATGATATACTGTTCGGTGCAGAAGTCATTATATTTCAGTAGTGAACACAAACTGTTGTGTGATACTATCATTATGTTCAGTTCAGATGATATCCTGTTTGGTGCAGAGGTCATTATGTTCAGTAGTGAAGACAAAAACTGTTGTGTGATAACGTCATTATGTTCAGTTCAGATGTATACTGTTTGGTGCAGAGGTCATTATGTTCAGTAGTGAAGACAAACTGTTGTGTGATACCGTCATTATGTTTCAGTAAACAGATGATATACTGCTCGGTGCACAAGTCATTGACAATGCGCCGAGTGGTCATACAATTATGTTGGGTTCTTCGGAATATCTTCGCGTCAAACAAGATGGCGGGCAGGGAGCAATTAATTTCCATAGAGTCACGTCGAGGCTAATGACCACAAAAATTACCAAAACAGTTTTCTTCCCCGTAAATACCATCGGAAGCTTTTAAAAACGTTATTTCCATAAATTGGACAGATTTCGTATGGCATATTTAATACCCAATGGGTATTTTATCAAAGTTAATATATGACTATACTATACTGTTACAGTCATAATGGGCACAGTATATAAAACTTAAAATATGGGTAAGGGTAGCGTATTCAAGTCACACATGACCACCGTAAATAAAACTTAAAAATATATGTGTTGGTAATTTTTAGACTCACAAGTGGACACATAAAACGAAAATTTAAAATATTGCAACATAATAATACAAGTAAGGCAAAACCTATTTGAGTCACACATGGCCACATTATATGGAACGTTAAATATAAGTATGGAAAAACCCCCATTTGAGACACATATGACCACAGTAAATGGAACATTATATATAAGTAAAGGTAGCCTAATAAAGTCAAACATGGCCAAAGTATAAAGAAAATTCATATAAGTAAGTGAAACCTAATTGAGTCACACATGGCCACAATATATTAGACATAATGTTTAAGTCAGGGAAATGTACTTGAGTCTTAATTTTTTAGGCTACCCTTATTTATATTATAATGTTCCCCATATACTTTAGTCATGTGTGACTCAAATAGATTTCCCTTACTTAAACATAATGTTCCATATATTTTGGCCTAGTGTGACTCAATTAGGTTACCCTTACTTATATAGAATGTTCTTCATAATGTGGGTATATGTGACTTTAATAGGCTACCCTTACTTATATTTAATGTTCCATATACTGTGGCCATGTGTGACTCAAATAGGTTTCCCTTACTTAAATATTATGTTTCATTTATTGTGGTTATGTGTGACTCAAATGGTTTACCAACACATATATTTTAAGTTGCATATGATGTGGCCATATGTGACTTTAATAGGCTACCCTTACTTATATGCTCCATATACTGTGGCCATGTGTGACTCAAATATGGTTCCCTTACTTGTATAATTATGATGTTTTATATTTTAAATTTCGATTGCTGTGTCCATTTGTGACTCTTATAGGTTACCAAACAGATCAATTTTAAGCTTTATTTACGGTGGTCATGTGTGACTTTAACAGGCTACCCTTACCCATGTTTTAAGTTTTATATACTGTACCCATTATGACTGTAACAGTATAGTATAGTCATGAATTAACTAAATAAAAAACCCATTGGGTATTTTAAAGTCCAATTTATGAAAATAACGTTCGTAAGCCCCCGATGATATTTACGGGGAAGAAAATTGTTTTGGCAATTTAGTGGTCATTAGCCTCGACGTGACCTATGGAAATTAGTCGCTCCCATCTTGTTGCCCGAAAATATTCGAATGAACCCAACATAATTGTGGTATCACACAACAGTTTGTGTTCACTATTGAACATAATGACCTCAGCACCGAACAGTATATCATCCGAACTGAACATAATGATAGTACCAAAAAACCACTGAACATAACGACCTTTGCACCGAACAACACATTGACTTGACTGGAGAAGATATAATTCAGCACACCAAGATAATGATAGTACCATTTAAGATAATTGATTGTACCATTTAACAGTTCTATTTCACGACTGAACAGAAAGGAATAAAGCACCCAACAGCATATCATTGCCACTGAAAATAATAAAAGTATCACCTAATAATACACTGCCTCAGCCAAACAAAATGATAGTACCACTCAACTGTTTATTTTCATGGTTGAACATGATGAGAAGAGCACCAAACAGCATATTATTATAACCGAACATAACATTCATTCTTAACATAAGACAGTCCAGGCGTTCCATAACTGTGCTGTATAAAAATAATGATCAAGATATGGTAGGGCTATAAATAACTCGAGTAGTAAAGTATGCAGCTTTAAAGTAAACTTAATTTTTGCCTAATCACGAGAACAATTTCCAAGAAGACAGGAAAACTAGGTCGACACTGGGCCTTTAAAGTGTTTGATGAAAAAATAAGCCCTACAAATTGATAGTCAAACTTTCACGGGGGAGGAAGTGTTACACGAAGGATGGAGTTCTTATGATAACTTGTTTGGAGTTCTTATGATAACTGTCACGGAGTTCCAGGAAAACGTTACGGATTTCTGTGGAAAACTTTTCTATATACTTGAAGAACTCGCGTAAATAATGGTTATTTTTAACTTTAAATGGGGAGTTTGAGGTGCTAAATTTAACTTTTGATAATTAAACTTGCCCTACATATTGTATTTTGTTTCAGAAAAAATATTTTAGTCCATATTTCGTCGCCTTTTTTAAAAAAATCTGGTAGTTTTGAGAAAAATTACCAAATTACTTGCTAATTCGTACATATTGACCTTTTCATTTGTGATCTTCACCGTTGCTATACATAATCACCTAATTATTATGGAGAGTTGCAAACATAAAGCCAAGGCTAATAAAAATTTATACCCGATTTTTCAAATGTTACGGAGTTCTTGCGATAACTCAAAATATGTCCTGGAGTTCTTATGATAACTTTTGTTACTGCCAGTAATGTTTTTGTGCTTAATCACGGCACGTTTAAGCGTATTTGATTAGTCAATAAGTGTGTAAAATCATTATGAAGCATAGTACGCTTATCATTTGCACAAAAATTTTGGTTATATAACGTTGGTTTTGATCGTGTTTTTCAGTTCAATAGATATTTTTCTTACCTCCGTTTCTTGTGTTTTTTTGTGTTTGTTTTGGTCTTTGTATGTGTGTGTGTGTGTGTGTGTGTGTGTGTGTGTTTTTTATTTTATTGGAATGACTGTAAACATACTTGATGTAGAGCATTTACTTACAGGATAAAAAGACGCTTTGAATTTAATACTCAAGCATGATTTCGTCATATACTAGTATACATTATTCCTGGCAGTTTTAGAGAACATTTAGAACAATTTCTAAAAGGTATCAGTTTTTTGTCATAGAAACGTATAAAGTTCTATGACAATGATATGACGATAGAAAGTAAGTCTTCAATAAGATATGTGAGTCACCGTAAGGTTCATGCCGTTTATCGACCCTGTTCCTTTCTCTATTAAATCCAATGTAGCATCACGTGACGTACAGCAATCTCCATATTTCGGAAAATTACTGCATACATTTTTCTTATCAAAGTTGGAGTCCTAGTTGTTGGAAATTTTGCAACAACTTTTGCTGTAACTGATTTACAAAAATATATTGTCGAACTTCTTTCGCTCGAACCCGTAGGGCACGTGCAAATCTGTCGAAGAGATCGGTAGTAATCGGTTGATTTTTTTTATGCATAAAAAGATCATACATTTCGGGTGCATGGGTGTGAAGGGTATCCCGGTTACATACGATACATTGTATATTATGATACAATTTACTTAGCCGCTTTTGAGCCCAACTACTTATTGTCTGCTTTAGAAAGGCGGTTGCTTAAAACATGTAACTGAGAAAAATGGTAAGTTTTTAAAACAATTTTTTCCTTGGCGGTTTAAGCCATGTTACTGCTGAATACAGGTGACCGCTGATTCAGGTTTTCCTGAAGATTTTTGTTTGTTTGTTTCATTTTACGCCTTTTCCCAACAGTATTTCAGTCATATGGGCGGGTAGTTTCCTAACCATCGTTCCTGGAGAGTTACACCAGTACTAGACTACCTTCCTCCGTGCTAAACTACCAAAGCATTTCCCGGGAATCGAACCCACGTCGAGAGGTAACTGGATTAGAAGTAATCGATTCAAACCCCTCGACCACGGAGGCGGTCGTTCCTGAAGATAGCTTAGCACCTGTGTATCCTATATAGACTGTACACCAAAGCAGTTTCATGTCTTCTCCAGATATATTGAATGATCGTGTTTTTAATTTTGCCCACATGGCCTCAATGTTGCATTTGCAGAAACTTATGACATAAAACTTTTGTTGACGAACAGTATACACAGAAACATTTAGGCATTCGTTGGGTTTTATAATGTCAATATGATTTCGCACAAATTTAATTAGGAACTAAAAACACGATCAAAACCAACGTTATATAACCAAATTTTGTGCCAATGATAAGCGTACTATGCTTCATAATGATTTATACACTTATTGACTAATAAAATACGCTTAAATGTGCCGTAATTAAGCACAAGAAAACACACTGGCAGTAACAAAAGTTATCATAAGAACTCCAGGACATATTTTGAGTTATCACAAGAACTCCGTAACATTAGAAAAATCGGGTATACATTTATTAGCCCGGGCTTTATGTTTGCAACTCTCCACTATAATTAGGTGATTATGTATAGCAACGAAGAAGGTCACAAATGAAAAGGTCAATATGTACGAATTAGCAAATAATTTGGAAATTTTTTCTCAAAACTACCAGATTTTTTTTTTTAAACGGCGACGAAATATGGACTAAAAGATTTTTTCTGAAACATAAATTCAATATGTAGGGCAAGCTTAATTATCAAAGTTTAATTTAGCACCTCAAAACTCCCCATTTAAAGTTAAAAATAACCATTATTTACGCGAGTTCTCCAAGTATATAGAAAAGTTTTCCACATAAATCCGTAACGTTTTCCAGGAACTCCGTGACAGTTATCATAAGAACTCCAAACAAGTTATCATAAGAACTCCATCCTTCGTGTAACACTTCCTCCCCCGTGACTTTGAGCTTATCATTTTTGGCATGTATAGTCGTGTTAGTCTAGTTTATACTAATTTATTTTAGTTCGATTGTGTTGGAAGCTATATATGCTTAATGAAACACTCTCTAATCAGTTAAACTACAAGTTACAACCTAGAAGTTTAACATTAAAATCTAGATATTTCAATGGTATCCTGGAGGTGTTTAAACTTAGATGTTACAATAACTTCCAATACGGTTTAAGCTGAGATGCATTGAACGGTGGTGGTTTATACCTAAATGTTTGAATATGTAATTGGTTAAGGTGTCTACCTCTCAACCCAGGGATCATGGGTTCGAACCATAATCGGGTGACGACCATGTTTCTTCATATGACATCAATACTGGTTGGTTCCAGGAAGCGGACTCGAAAGTGATTGATATAAGTTGCAAGAACTTGTTAGCAATCGAGCTTTAACACTGTTTAATAAATATGTTTAAACCAATTGTTTTGAGGAGTTGAAACATATATATAGTATTATAACCGTTAAAAATTTAACGTTTAATGACGGCAAATGCATAGATGTCACGATTCAATGATCTGATGATTACCTGTAATGATTCCACGAGCGCTGCCAGGCACACACCGTCACACAAATCTGTGGCGAGGTTCTCAATAGATCGACCACTGACCTTTAACTGTTCATTGCACCAATTTCGGAACGTTGTTTCCTGGATTCGAACCCACTGTTCGTCCTTGTTGGGCTGGCCACCACTTTCGCCCATGATTAAACCAATTTATTCCGCTCCGTGAATAAAAAACCCTAGCTGACTTACGTTACGAGGCATCTTTAGTCAAAATTAACATATCCGAAAACTGATTAGTTTCACTATTTTCAAAAAACTTGTCATGTGTGTTCAGATTTGAGTTTACAATCTTGAATTTCAAGTTTAAAAGCTTATCCACATGAAAAATGAAGAAAAATCACACGAACTTTTACTTAAATGTGTTTAACGTGCTCCTGTGCCCTACACTGATATTGTTTTATCCTAATATAATCTCTAATTGTGAAAGACACACCTACCGATAACAGATCACACAAATAGTTCAGATAAATCATACATTTCGTTTACTAAAACCTTAAACTTTTAAAAGAATCGTTCAATTTAGCATTCCGAAAAGACCGATGCATATTTTGTACACAAACCAAGATATTTATGAATACACAATTCAACCGTTAAATGAAGAAAGTTATCGTCAAATGTATTAGACCTGGGTCAAAAGTCTGTCGTATTTAAATAGAATATTTTATACCTGAATGAACGGTTTAACAATACAAAACTTTTTATCGATAATACTGCTACTTATGCAAATATAAACAGATAAGACTGCATCGTCTGTCGATACATAACAAGTAGCTTCGGGACATTAGCCGCACTATTTCGACTTTTTCCGTCAAACATCGGAAAATAGTTAGGTAATCGATTTATCCGATCGGATTTAGAAATATATATATTCATTTTAAAAATAAACAAAGTGTGATTATCGAGGAAATCACGATATAAATCGCTTTGTGAAGGGATGATGACACGAGCAAAATGGGTTTTTATATGCAACCATAAAATTAAAAGGAAAAAGACGAATCAGAAAGACACAAATAAAGACTCCAACTGTCACATTTTATTAATAGTTTAGAAGTTGTTTTTTATCCATTTCAAAATCAAGCTTTTTTAAGCAGCTGTACATCTCAACAATATTGCGCGCCAAGTAAATTGTAACAATGTATATAAAGGCGGGAAAAGTGAGCCAAAATGGCCGCGGAAATGTCGTATTTTATATTCTTGTTTCCAAAGTGTGGGGCCTTTACCAGGAGTTTAAACACCCCAGGTAATCACCGGGTATAGTGGACCGTGATTACAATTGTCAATAAAATGTGTCCAGAATCTAGTAATGAAAGTAAGAATATCCTAAGTATATATACTAAGAATGTATGAAAATATAATCGTATGTTAATACTGCTTAAGCAAAGTCAGTCCAGACGTTTAAATGGTAGTTTCAAATCCCTAAAAGCATGGCAAATCTATTACCTAATCTCGTAGTCATTTCCTTAAAGGCCCATTACATAATAAAGGAAACCTCAGATTAAAACACTCAGGAACAGGGTACTAACTATTTACTTCAATCTACATTTCATCAGGTGAAATTTATGATTTTAAGACCTGAAAAAAATCTGTGCTTCGAAAAACCAGACCCTAGATGCCATATGGCTATTTTCCAGATAAACTGGTGAAATAGGACTTCATTGCGCTCTTCCGTACGAACAAAAAACTTTTGTCCGTCCAATTTACTTAATATTTTATTTATCAGTATATATGAGCCATGCCATTACAAAACCAACATAATGCATTAGCGACGAGCATGGATCCCGATCAGCTTGTGCATCCGCGCAGTCTGATCAGGATCCATGCTGTTCGCTATCAGTTTCTCTACTTGTAATAGGGTTTGTAAGCGAACAACATGGATCCTGATTAGACTGCGCGGATGCGCAGGCTGGTCTGGATCCATGCTGGTCGCAAATGCATTACGTTGGTTTTGTCGTGACGCGGCTCATATGTTTTTCAGAGCCATAATATTGTGTTTAAATACCAGAACAGAACCACCGACATTCAAGTTATTTCCTTGGTCAATGTCCTTGGTGGGATTCGGACTCCACAACGCTGAGAGATACGCTACTCAAGTTGAACCAGATGTGTACATAATCACCAAATGCCATATTCACAACGTTGCCAAGTTGCAACCGGTGCAAGACTATTTCTTTTATAGTTGTGAGTAGTATAGGCGTCTCTTTAGCCCCAAGACTGCGCATGCGCGGCGGCCATTTTGTTTTCTATTAATAGCTACTCATTTGCATAAAAGAAATGACCTCACTACACATGCGCGGCGGCCTTGTTGATTTACAGACGCGCGGCGGCCATATTGGATTTTTTATTTAGAATGACATCATCGTTCTATTTCAAGAATGACATCATCGTTCTATTTTGAGAATGTGATCATCCGTCTCTTTTTAGAATGACATTATCGTTCTATTTTTAATCTCCCGGAAGTATACGGAGCTGACTCGTATACACGATTTAGGGCTTGAATCGCGGACATTGAGGGTCAGGTCCTCGGCCCTAGACGGAGAGATAATTAACATCATGAAAGA